CAGACCTCAAAATTTACTTGATTTTTTTTAAGCGTAGCCGTCGTCGTACATTTAACGGAGCTTTGCTTTTCTTTCCAGCTCGGGAGGACATAATTCGGTATTATGGTACTCCTGCGGCTCTGAGTTTGTGGCCGTCTCAAGATGAGGAGTCCGAGTGTGTATGTATTTTACATGCACTCCCTAACTTCTTCAGTCTACTATAGCTGTTTTGTTACTATTAAGTATGTCCATTGCCTACAATATAGTGTGATTTGTTTTCTTAGCAAATCTCCCGATGTTCTGTCTCACTTGCCTTACTTTCTCCCTCACTCCCCTCGATGAGTAGCGTTCCCAAGCTGTGTCCCCTTCCCGTTTCCCCGACCCCCTGAGTGTCTTCACTCCGTTCTGGGCCCGCCCTGTCTACGGTGAGACGCTACCCGCTCCCGTCACCATCAACCACGCTGACCACTATCCTGCCCCAAGTGACGACGATGAAAGTGACTACTTGGTGTACGAGGACGAGGATGACCACAGCTTCGTGGATGACCGAGAGACTCATCCCTTGAGAAAGGCGCTAACGAGAGCGTCTGCCTTCTTTAGGAAGATCTTCTCGTAGACTCCTTATCCTTTTAATGTCTGACTGTGTGAGTGAGTGAATGATTGGATATGTGTATAAGTGTGTGTGTGTGTGTGTGTGAGAGAGAGAGAGAGGATGAGAGAGCTCGAGAGCTCTTTAATATGCGTTCTTTCAATACGCATTTTGGCCCAATTTAGACACACCATTTTGGCCCATCTTTTGCTTACGTTTTGGCTTTTTTTCATGTAATCGATGACTATGTTTAATCGCACAAGGTGATGCTATATATTCTGTTTTGGCCCCGTATTTGGGATCTCTCTTTAGGCATATTACTTTCGACCTTTCGTCATCTGAATAAATGTTTCTGTAATGTATAAACAAGTTGTCTGTTTTCACTACTGTGTTCCCTCCTTAGAGCTGATAATGATCTAGAGGGCAGCGGCATCACAATATCAGCATCAGGCCACATCCCCCGGCCTTAGACATAAAATCATCCTGATATTGTGAAACAGCCTGATATTTGCCTCTATATATGGCTATGCTGCTGCTACAGTTTGAACAAACGTGGAAGCTTTTCGCAGGAATGGACTTAACTGCTGGTCCTTTAGCCCGTTGCCAGCAGAAATAGCAGCGGGCCTGCTACATTATAAGGGCAGTGGTCTGGTGGGCCTGTCGAAAGCCTATATTCACACGCACTTGTGTGTAGGAGTATCCCTGTGTCTGACCTCCTTTGCCTCAGTGCACCAAGAGTTTAATAGTTAAATACAGTCATGCATGTGTTTGTTTGTGATGGAGGTATTTTAATAAGATACAATAATATCTTTATCATTGTGTACTAGTTAAATACAGTTATGTATGTGTTTGTTTGTGATGGAGATATTTTAATAAGATAGAATAATATCATTGCGTTCAGTTTGCAAATTGGTACAATACATGGATCATGTCAGAAGAGGGTAAAGAAAGGCAGGGCACCAGTCTATTGGGTACACATTCTCAACGTTACAATCTGAATTGTGTGAAGTTGAGTTCAAACAGTATTCTACTTACATGACAAGTAAGCTTTTGTGTGGGAGGAAAGCCCAAAGTGATTCTGGACATTTACTGACCGTCTCTGTGGTCTAGTGGTGGAGCATCTGCCCAGAGAGCGGAAGGTCCGGGGTTTGATCTACGTGTCATTCCAAAAGATCCTGTATCCTGTGTCTGAGCGGGGTATTCATGTTAAACTGTGGCATGGTATCTCAGTGGGCCAACACCACAAAATCGTCATAAGTCCGAACTAGTACAAGCATGCACGCACACAGGTACGCAGATCGCTATATAAGTTCAATAATCTTGAACGTGACTTTAAACCCCATTTCACCTCACCACCTCATATCATCTGACTGTTACTTAAAGTCCAACTTGAGAGAATTTCTATCTAATCTGTCCATATACGGGAGTGGTTATTGAGTTATTGAGCTATGAACAGTCAAAATCAAACTAGTTGCCGTGGAGACAAAAACTATAAATTCTAAATAGCAAAAGGCACCAGTTGATAACCTGGTATTTGTGTGTGCAGTTTCAAGAAAGAATACATATTAGTTTTAAAGATATGGACCGGACAAGCACACCAGTCAAACTTGTTGCTATGGAAACAGGGAAAAATCAAATTTTGAAAAATTCCTTAATAGCAAGAGGCAAGAGGTATAGTTGTGCTACGGAAACAACACCTACCCCCACCCTTTTGAGACAAGTCCAAATTGTTTCCATGGAAATCGAGAAAAATAAAAATGAAAAAAATCCCCAAATAGCAAAAGGCACCACTTCAGGACCTGTTTGATATATCCGCCAATTTTTGTTGAAAACTATTGAACAATTTTCGAGTTACAATCCAGAAACGAAAAGATTACGGACGGACGGACAGACAGACGAGGCATCGACTATATCCCCCTGCATTATATGCCGGGAGGTGGGGGGGGAGATAAAAACAGACAAGTTTGTGTAAGGGCCAAGCTTTATTGCAGGATTCGACAGGGGCAACAAAAATACACATCTAAGCTTAGCAAGGAGTTCTCTCCATACCAAAGAGTTGTCACAATGATCACCTGGACACAAAATGTCCTTGACTGCAGCCTCTTACGGTAGGTGGTCAAGGTCAAGGTCAGGTCATACTTCTGAGTGGGCACTGGCAGAGTGACAAGATTGTTTCCAACTTAAGACAACATCCCCAATTGTGCCATATGTACTCAGCTCTAAAAGGTTCCTACTACAATGATGAAACTGAGAGTTTGTCAGACATAAAAAGAACCATTTCAAAGACAATTTGTCAAACTGGCACTTTTTCACTTCCAGATCATTTCTTGCAATCTCTACAGGCCATCCTAAAACAGATGGCATCAGATGACATCAAATGATCATTAAAGCATCTGGAATGTATCTCCCAGCTATTCCCTGACAGTGAGTCCAACCTGACCAAGCCTTGCTCCATCCATCCCTGAACATGCTGAAGAACAGATATGGTGAGGTGACATCTGATGTTTCTATGTACATATCACAGTACTGCAAATAGCTAACACTCAGTAAGTCTACACAATGTGTCTGTCCTGCTCTAGGTAGCCCGGGACTGGCCCACAGATGCTGTGTTTACTTAATACAGACACTAAAAATCACCCGGTTAGACCTTCAGCTCCTGGGACTGACATTTGTTGCATGATGGCTCTGAATATCAGATATCAGGGTCCAAGACTAGTAAACTTCAGGACTAATGACATTTGCCACTTTAACCATTAGGAAGATGGCATCTTTGTAGCAGATCATTTTTGTGGACTCGTGCAAATAAAACTTAACCCTGGAAATCACTTTTAAATGTTGACTGAGATAATTCACTTATTAAGATCACAACAATCTGGGATGGTAGAATAAAACCACTGTTGTCAACATTTAACTGATACTTTTCAGTGAAATTTTGAAATGTAGTTGCTGCTGAAATGTAGGATGGAGAATTCTATTTATTCCATCCCCATACTTGATACAGCCTTACATGTTTAGCCAATCTGAAAGTATACTACTCAAAACAAGTCACAAGAACACCCACAATTGGACGGCTGTGTGTTGCAATACCCACCAGCCATGACAGATAAACTGTAGTCAGATGACAAAAATAAGGTGTTCTTCAACTTCTTTTGAGTAGTATATACATACACCAGAACCGTTCACCACACTGAGTTGGGCAGTTCAAATTTCATCATATCTTAGATGCATAAACATGAAGCATAAATACTAGGGCAGGGACGGGTACCTCGGTAGGACCCCGGTACCCACAGGACTACCCGGACCCGTGGTTAGTCACGTGATATATTGTTTAATGACAAAAACTCACTATAGATCAGTGGTTACACTGCAAGTTTCTAACGTTTGCATTTCTTTCTGACGATACACACATTCCTTTTGACTTGTATATGTTTGAGTAAAGATAAAGCTTCAGTCAACTTAAGTGATCTTATTGTTTGATACATGTATCTAAATAGTTTTGGCCAGGGCTGCGGTAAAACAATCAGACATTTTGTTCCCAACTCTTGAGACCTGCAGTGGGTACCCGGGTAGGGTCTGGTAATAGGGGGTCGAGTACCCGGGTAGTAAATTTGGAATCGTCCCAGCCCTAATAAATACAAACTAAAGTTTACAGTCAGAACTTTGCATTAACAAATGTTAACAGTTAACCATGAAGGTAACCAATTGAATCATAACATCAGTATTGCTGTAATACTCTCCCCCAAATATATCAGAAATATTGAGAAACAATGAATGAAGAAAGTATTTGTGATCTGTTCAAAATAATTGTGGTAGTTATGGCTACTTTGTCGTGTGACTTGTCTCAGGCTGTAAAGCGAGAGTTTGTAGTAGAACTGTTGTGATATGAGACACAAATATGCCAGTCATTAGAAAATGGAAACCATACAAACAGGATCTCCTCATATCTATCAGCACATGTTTTGTATTGATGCAAACCTGACATATCTGTATCACTTCAAAAAGTATCAGTACTTGAGTGAATCTCACCGGCCCTTTGATTGTCTTGCAAGAAGCCTTTGAAGAAGCCTTTGTTGATAAGAAGAAGACACGGTGATAGTCTTCCTGTACAGAGCACAGATAGGAAAATAGCTTCACAATGAAATCTGTTTGTTCGAAGTAAACATGACAGCCAGTCCCAGAAATCATCTGACACCAAAACTACAACTGTACCAGCAGGAAGTTGATGAGGCTGGTACCCTCTACATCGGCTGCAGATGCTACACTGCATGACATGACAACACTGACAGTACTTGACCGTATCACATGTAGGCTATACTCTAGCATTCACATAGAACACACAGCGCTCACACTGTAGCTCAAGCTCAATGCATCATTGTCCTACACAGGAGCTACCAATACTCTAAGTTTACCCCGTTAGTATTTTCACAAGGCCTATATATTTCTATTTTATTTCAGTGTAGCCAAAATATCATCTATGAGTATAAATTTTATGAATATATGCATGGAGACATGAAAACAATCCAAATATGCTTATTTTAATATTTTCTTACGATATTGAAAATGCATTGTCAGCTATACCTATGATATAGCCACATGCAGTGATGTGCACCCACCCTACAAACTGACCACGTTATCAGACAAAATACTGTGGCACAAAATTGAAATTATGTACATGTAGATGATTTACAGACTCCTTTGTGTGCTCAAATGCGATGCCTATCTTTGCTACACTGAAAGCTATGGGATTTCAAACCCTGTGGAAATACTCCTAGACTTGGTGTGCATAATACATCTATTGTGTCTGAGGGAAACTTGAGTGACTGTATGCGAACTGGAATTAACAATGCTTTCCAGACATCACAATTGGGGACACCAAGCATGGGTTTCTCACAGTACACAAGACATAGTGGGTGACCCTGGTCTTATGTATGACGAGCTAGTGCTTGAACCATGAGGCTTGAACCAACTATTGCAAGGAATCTAAGGTAATCTACATGCTCCTTCAGTAAAACACAATAACGTGTCATTTAAATTGCTGTTTGAGGGGACATCTCTGTCCATATGTCAGCTCAAATGATCAATAGGTGATGACAACAAACTGGTCTCAATTTGTTTTATAGTAAGAAACCAACACATTGGGGACATCAGACCATCAATACTAAACCTGTGACATTAACTCTATGAGATTCTCTTACAACCTTCAACAGATATAACAAATGTTATGATGAACAGGTCGAGTCTGATCCCTGCAAATAACAGTATCAATCACTTCAAATAACAGTCTTAATGACAATGAAGAATAGAGCTTGAGCTTGCAACACTCGCACACCTCAATAACACTGTGAGTGGATAACACCAATACAAGGTGTACTGGTCAGATGGATAACATGCTGGCAATGGTTAGAGCTGGTGCTCCTGCTTGCTGTCCCCAGTATAAGGATGAACATTGCACGACTGACTGGAGGAAGAAGGCAACATTATATATACACCAGGAGCTCATTCAGATGTACAAGCAAAATCAAGTCTACAAGAAACAATTGTACCAATAAATAAACAAAAAAAAAGTCAACACTTATTTTGTGCTCAACATGTATACTCCAAACATATTACCTGAAAAGGCGATGAAAATGGTGGAACTCTATCCTCTGTAAAATCCCCTTTACTCTTTTGTGCAATGAAAATAAAATGTCTATATAGAAAGTTGGCCCCGTGAAGATTTCCCATCCAAAACATCCAAAACAAATATTTTTCAAAGAAGATTCCAGAGATTTTGCAAATTACAGATTGGACAATTTGCCAAAAGTTTTGAGTTCAAATTCATCTAGGATTTGTATATATTTGTCACTGAATGAGATGTCTGAGATGTCGCTCAAGATATGTTGTAAAAGACGTACAGAATGTAACTGATTTGGAAAACAATACGTGCACAAGTTCATAAATAAAGCTTTAAAAAACGGCTTGACATGAATTGTGAACAAACAAGCAAATAAAACATAGTAAAGAATGTCATTCAGGTTCAAAGAGTGACATGGTGTCAAACCAATTCAGTAATGGTTCCTAGTCTGCTGAGACAGCAAGAAACAGGCAACAACCTGGATACTTCCTCCATTTTAAAACAACTTCACACATTCAAATTTATTTTGTAATCCCAGGCAACACACCTTAACAAACTGCATTCACTGTTCAGGGTGACATTCAGTTGAACAACTTCCAAATTATGAAACAATTCCTGAAATTCCTTCCAGCAGACTAGATTTCATCACAATGGTACGTATACCATGTGTGCATCACCATTGGGCACAGTAACAGAGATGACTAAACAATGGCAAGAACACAATAACACCAATAGCCAGCCAGCCAGCCCTTGTTAGGTAAGGACAGGGTCATGTGACATATCACATGACCTATCCAAAACAGGTCTAAGATCACAAGTGGGATACCATAGCAATCATGGTATCTTGTCAGCGGGTACCAATCCCGCTAGAATTGCACAAAACATGACAGGATGAACATTGCACCTCTGCCACAAAACTATAAAGTCTCATTGGATAGTCTACACACAAAACTTTGGTTTAATATCAAAGTACATGACACGGAGAGGCACCCTTTCATCCATGACAGCGAACATTCTAAGAGCGGATTCATCACCTCCAAACCACATCGTTTAGAGACAACCAACTACACTGTCGTGCATGCACATTTCTGTGCAGGGTGAACCAATATGTTCGTTGATGCATGAATTAATTCTTTTTCAAAACTCTCCCATGAAATGAAAAGTAATGAAACTCAAAAGATTGATTACACCAATGTGCAGATCATATCCAGGTTCCCTTCTGGTTTGGCAGCTTGTGGGCAAAAAGCAGACCAGATAATCAGATCAACCAATCACTCCAAATTAACACAGATAATGCAGGTCCTACAATCCAGCCAATCAGGGCACAGTGGCAAAATCACTGCCTGACACACTGAACCTTCATCCTTTGCTTGCCAACACAATTTGTAGCAAATCAATTCGTTGTCAGCGGAATACAGGAAGATCTTGGAGTCATGCCCCTCAGTCGCTGGGAACCCTGGGTCCCTGAGACTTTCATGTTATTGCAGTGGAAGCAAAATACAGATATAGTCCAGACTGCCGTGCGGCAGCAGGTGACGGCGACACTACCTCCACGGCCATATACTAGTCATCATGTCCCATGAGTAATGAGCAGCAGCTTCAATGCCGTCCCAGCTGTGATACAGGACCGTGATGAACACTGCCAAAACAATGGTCCACAGGATGCGCATTCTGGAAGGAAGAACTTTAGATTACCTTCATGCCATGATGATCATCAAAACATACATTCCTGGAAAACAGCCACACTTCCTACCACTGCTTGGCCACTGATTTTATTTTTTCAGGTTTACAAAAATGGGAAGAAATTGTTTTAGTGTGGGTCACAAAAAATTCATAGAAATAACCCACTAACCTGTTTTTTACATATTTTCTTATCACAATAAGCAGTCTATGACATAATGGGAATTAATATGCATAGTTGGCAAAACAGAATAAATATTTGGTTCCTGTTACATGCCGTGGGAGAATAGAGTATTTTAGATGGAGTACTATTTCTCAGTGTCCTTGGGTATCTATATCTACAGAGCACTTTAAAAGGGCATCATATACACTAATGGTAAAAATGTTGGTAATACAAGTTAGGCTAACAATGTAAGGCTTAGGGTTTGGGTCAAGGAATATGGCAAATGGTAAATCAGTATATCTAGTGATGCTTTATTGCAGATTTCACAATTTTATTGACCAAGTTTGTTCTCACATGTTTGTTTACCTGAAAGGATATCATGTATTTTTTTACTGCGCATAATAATCAAAAAGTATTGTTCCCAAAATACTGTATCCCCTTCATGAGGGTGCGCATTATGCTTGGAGACGAAAGTCAAGAAAATACGTTAACTACACGCGGACTCCAGAGCCTGAGCCAGGAATTCCTGTGAACCCAAATCACAGAGTACTGTTTGTTTGTTTGTTGTTTAATGTTGAACTAGAGCTATATGGCAGCAGCCTGTAAATAATTGAGTCTGGACCAGACAAGCCAGTGATTGATACTGCCAGCAACAATCCATGCCATCAGTGACACTGTGTACCATGACACTCAATCAACCAAGTCACCAAGCCTGACCCCCCCAATTCAGTTTGGGGCTCTAACATGTACAACAAACAAAGGTTGTGGTGAGGACCTATATTTACCTGGAATCCACACAGGAGAATTCACAGAGTACAATGTGAAAAATTTCAAAACGACCATGCTGCTGGCCAACTGTCAGCTACAGCATGTTTGATTTGGGTCATTCAACCCACGATTAGTCTGCTCACTCACATTTAATGACATCAATCTGTCAGTTACTTTTGAGAGACCGTCATAGCTTCACAAAGGGAACAAAACGTACAATGTCTAAACCCAGACTGAACTGCGTTCAGGCTTGTGTAGCAGAGTCCCTCTTTGAGGGTGCTTTAACATGTTGCAAAATGGGCTGAACTAAGGGTGGGGACATCAGGTTTCAGTTAAGCATGATTCCTACCTTGATGTCAGAAAGGGAGATAGGAGGTTTGCTGCAGTGGATACAAAAACCAGCACAACGGCAAGTAGTGCAAGGACAACGTTGATGAGTTTTGTGAGTATTGTCCTGAATGTGACGTTCTCGACCATCTCCATGGACAGGATTTGCTGCTGCTGCTGCTGTTGTTCCAGACGCTGGATCTGTGAAGACAGACAATAAAGGCTACTGAAACATGAAGCTCCAAACTAGTACAAAAAATGCCAACTTGTTTTCCAGTTCAGAAACAAATTCTGTGACAAATACTTTTCAAAACTTGTGATCTATTCTCAAATATTTAACATAAACTTTTCACCCATATAAAAAACATCAGTTAGGTTTAGTTGTGAATCAGATATTTCACAAGATTCAAGCAATAGGCAAGTTTGTGGCCTGGACCTTACATCTGGAAAAGAAATCTATCTCAAATGCTTTGACTGTAGAGTGAGTATAGGCTTTGGCCACTTTAGCAATACCCCAGAAATATTTTGGACACCGGAAATAGCTTCATACATTGTACTCATGAAGGGCATGAAACCCAGGCCTTCAGCATGACTAGCGAACGCCTTAACCACAAGGGTACCCCACCGCCCTGCTTTGAGTTGAGATTAATGTGCCATCAGTGCTCTGGTCTTTCAGCAACCTTGCATTTTCATCCAGTAAAATTACATACCCTTGTCTGACAATTGTCTACGAGATCACTGAGGTCCGTTGTTCGTTCATCCAAACGATACTCAATCTTTTCTTCCATACTGGTGATATCCTGAAGAGAATCAACAAGTCAGAAATCAACATGGTCGACATACAACAACATAAGATTATTAAGAAAAGAAAGCGTGGATTTCATAAGTACCACTTTACTGTAATACAAATATACTTGGTTCATTTGTAAAAAGAATTTTATGGTCTTGTGTGATTTATTTATGGACGATGACCCAGTCCTAATTGATAACAACTTTCACCGGTCCCCTCCAAAATGTGACAGTGGTTCTCTGGAATATACCAGATATTCGGGCAGGTAAATGTAAAGCTGTTCCTCCCTGTGTTTGGAAGAAATATGTTATACCAATTGACTTGTATTGACTTGCATTTTTATCTGACCTCTACAATTTACATTGTCCCTTAAAACTACAGTCGCAAAGTTGTAAATGAACCATGAATATATAAGTAAAGTGAAAAAACATGTAGGGATTTGCCTCCTTGCTCAAGACAGGCAGATAAAGAATCTTCATTTACTTTCAATTGGTACGCTTTACCGATCTCTGTTATCTGCTCACTTCTCGTAGGATTACCTCATAGTGATGGTAATATGCTGACAATATGAGAGCAAATCAAGATCCATGCAGATCCTGGCATGGCTAAGAGACACTACTCTGTCAATTGCAACCAGTAATCCTTCACTGGACCACCTGATGCAATGGGCAATGCCTGCTTCCCTGACTTCCTGGGCGACTTTTAGTATCTCAAATAAATATCCTTAACTACAGTGATCCCTCGCTATTGTGCTCTTCGATAAAGCGCTACCTCGGTTACTACGCGCGGTAACGCATGGCTCCCCAAATTTATGTACAGTTTTATTACTGAGAGTTTTACACAGACATAATTGTATTGTTGTTCGTTGTTCATTGTTCATTTGCACATAACGCTTCTCATTGCATAATCAACCGTTTATCGCTGAATGGAGTTCTAATAATCTGTTTGAAAACATCCGCGGCAAGTCCCGGAAATACGATTGTTCAACTAGTTAACTTTTCACACTATACATCCTTTGATCTTAGAAGCGCATGCATGCAATAAAAGAGAACCACAAGCGAAGTTTATATTCTTAATTAGTGGGCAATCCAATTTGAGGCGACACTGTCACACACATGTAGTTGCTGTCACAACACGGCGGTCATTCATTTCGTAATCGCGCTTTCGTAACATCGCCTGTTTTTTTTCCGTAGTTATAACAAGCGATTTCATTGGATTAAAATTTGTTTCTAATGACGCTTTCTTGCCGAAATCTGCTACAAGTTTCGTGATTGGTCAATTTTGAGCACGTGACCTCAAGCAGCCAATCAAATTATAGCTGTGATACCAAGCTTGTGTTTGATAAATTTCAGAAGTTGGCGAAAGATTTTTTGTTAAATCGTGTTATTCTGAACGTTTTAAGCAGGAAATCACGATATATATTAAAAATATGGAACTTCGCGAATGTATCGTGCTAGGTTACGAGCTGTGACAAAGATTTTTCATGCATATATTTTTGCATTAAACGTTGTGTCCGAGCCGAGAATTCAAGGCGACGAAAGCCGAGATGTCATTTAACTTACATTACACGCGATCGCACGAAACGATGGAAATAATAACTTAGATGTAAGTTTGATTACTTATAGATATATTTTTGTGGATTTTATTTATCACTTTGTATAATATATTTAAAGATTTGCTTAAAACGTCTTTATTTTGCTCTTTGACATGTTCGATGCGGACCCGTTGTCGAAATGTGTGTCCGAGAATTTTATTTTCAATAACATCGCGGGAAATAGTGAATAATTTTTTAATTTATCAATAAAAAATTATAAATTGAAATGGTATACGTATTTCAGACATTGTGAAATGTGACAGATTTAATAAATGAATGATATTCCAGGTAGATCTAGGTCCATTAAAATATATACTATTTTGACGTGACGTGAGATAAACACATACCGTATTGATGATTTGAGATTTGCCGAGCGCGCTCCCCCGCCTCGGCCTCGGTTAAACGGCTCATCGTCTATAACGCCCATGAATTATTTGGACCCCATTGGTAGCGTTGTAGCGAGGGACCACTGTATCAGACCGCGGTCAGTAATAATTCTGTAGACCCTGATGTGTTCACTCCTAGACCCGTATTCTGTCCACTGACCTGTTTGAGGTTGGTGATTTCGTTCTGATGCAGCTCTGTGAGATCGTTGATCTGATCCTCCTGGCGGTCTACCTTGTACTTCTCCTCATCCAGCAGGCCCCGCAGTATGCTCATCTCGCAGGTGGACGTAGCCTGCACAAACCACACACACACAGTTAGGAACAGTTAGAAACACACTTACAGTTACACCAGACCACAGCTGATCCCTTGATATCGGTGACCAATACACCATACATAAACATGGCAATATATTGTTTCCCAGGCAATAACATTCAAAAGCTGAGCAGCTTCTCTTTTTCACAAAAAGGGTGTCACATAGTAATTATTTTATGAAAGCATAAACCCAAAATTGACATGCAGAAAATATTGCTGATGCACTGCACGCATGGCAACACCATTTTAAATAATCTCCAAAAAAATCATCAGAAATGTTTTTGTTTTTTTTGCCCTTATCTCTTCCACCTTCTCCCCCCATTAAGGATCTTTCACAAAGAAATCCATACACAAAGAACAACAAGAGTTTGCCACTAACGTGGCTATATCCCCCACCCCTGTTGCAGAATTTATGACATAATTAAATCTAAACAAACCCTAACCTTTTTAAACCGAGGCGGAACTTGTCATGGAAATTGTAAAAAAAAGAAGAGTTTGGAACCTAAGTCCATCTTGCTGCCATGGAAACGTAAAAAAAATAAAAAATTCTAAAATTTCTTCATAGCAAAAGGCACCAGTTCACCATGTACCTGACAAACCTGCAAAGTTTGATGAAAAAATATTGAATGGTTTATGAGTTATGCTCCGGAAACAAACCCTACCCTCACAGAACCTAAGTCCATCTTGTTGCGATGGAAACGTACAAAATATAAATTTCTAAAATTTCTATATAGCATGGGCACCAGTTCATCATGTACCCAACAGACCTGCAAAGTTTGATGAAAAAATATTGAACGGTTTATGAGTTATGCTCCGGAAACAAAACGTGACGGACGGACGGACGGACGGATCCCGTATCTATATCCCCCGCCAACTTTGTTGGGCGGGGGATAAAAATGAAAGCTTGCCGGAAGACGATGTAGTGGACAGTAAGGTCAACAGGAAGGTCAATAAGGCTGTTGCATTACCTTGTATGTGTCATACTCTTCGGCAAGTTTCTGGAGCTGATCTGTGAGCTTCCGGTTGAAGTCCTTCATTTCTTCCAGCTCCAGCAGAATGGGGTCAACGACGGCTTGAGTGAGAACAGGAAGTTGCTGTGAGGTATTCTGGGAAGTGGAGTGGGGACTACTATGCGCCCCGAACCCTGACCCTGAAGTGATGCTTGATCCTTCATCGTCCGACCCGTACTTGAAACTAACAGACCAAACACACAAATCAGAATAGAGAAAACATGTTTCTATACAACTAATCACACTGACTGGATAAATACAAGAAATGGACCAAGCATAAGTTAAAATTACCGGTACAAAGAGCTATGATTTTTTGTTCTATTGAAAATATATTTTACAATTCAATCTGATTGGTCATTATACTGCTCAATGGTTCATGAGAACATAAAAAGGTGCAATGTACTGTCAAAGCCTCTACTACATGGGTTGTAACTGTGCTGCTCTACAACCACTGCAATAGCTACTAAATTGCTGGTGCTGGGTTAAGTCACATTCACCACTCAGAAATCAGGCCTTCAGTGCTACTCAGCAACCACTGCGAATAGCTGCTGTTGCTGTAAGCGCTATTCACTCACTGCTCATAGAACTAAGTCTGCTGCTGTGTTACTTAGCACCCACAGCAAATAGCTGCTGTTGCTTTAAACGCTGTTCACTCACTTCTCATAGAACTACACCTGCTGCTGTGTTACTTAGCAACCACAGCTAATAGCTGCTGTTGCTTTAAGCGCTGTTCACCCACTTCTCATAGAACTAAGCCTGCTGCTGTGTTACTTAGCAACCACAGCTAATAGCTGCAAATAGCTGATGCTGCATACAAAAAATATTCACACACACACTTCTTATAGAACTAAAACTACTGAGGTGCTCAGCATCTACACCTGCTGTACAACAACATAATTTGCATGAAGCGATGTACATCTGAACACACACACCACACACATACACACACTTGTTCACAATACACACAATGCAAAACTTTGTGGGGAACTAAAGAGGACAAAAACACCTGAACTCAAAAAGCATTAATCTGAAAGAACGGAAAACGCAAAGTGGTCTACTGTCATGCAATGCAGCCTGTGATATGGGGGAGTATGGCAGTGTTATGGCATGAAGCACAGTGTATGAAGCACAGTGTATGAAGCACAGTGTGTGGACGTGGTCTCGTGAATCAGTCAGTGTCTACGCTGTCACACTGATTAGGCTGACAGACACACTGCTGTACACAGGGCCCACACAAGCAGCCTGACACTTGCTGAAGACAAGTCTCTAATATCAAATAACCAGGCACGTTATGTTAAAAGGCAATGTTTTGGAAAAGGAAACCTTAGAAAGATGGCAGCCTTTCAAAATAGATAAAACAGATTTGGATGACACTGTTACGGAACAAGATTCTCATTTATTATGTGAGATTTTCATCAAGGCTATATTTAACAATGACAAAATGATTTACAGAATCTGAGGTGAGAACTTTGTAAAAATCATATCATTATTATTGGTGCTTCAACCTATGTATGAATGGGTCGTGTGTACAACAGGGCCCTGTGACCGATTACTTACTCAGTTCCTACAGTTTGTCTGCATAGCAAGATAAAGTGATGTTAAACTCTCTACACAATCTCACATTACAATTCTAACAATCATCTTGAATACACCTAACACATATGGTACCAAACATTGATTCAATATTCTATGGTTTGACATTACTAATATATGAATTGTAATACTAAAATACACTCTTGCTCACGTTCATTTCTGAATATCCAAACCTCACTAAACTACACACATACTTAAGAGTGACAATGGATTGGGCGATACGGCTCATTAATTGGGTTCATGGCATGTCATCGTACCCCCATGGCATGGATCGATACTCATGATATCTATCACTTTCCGATTCTTAGATCACCTTCTACGCTTCTCTAGTTAACAACTCGGATACCAGTCTGTGACAGCAAATAGTCCAAGGCTGTGTCCAGTAAAATGTCTTTCTTGTAATTAATCTCTAATAGCTAATATAAATCTCCTCAAAATGATGCCAAAAGACAAGTTTGCGCTATTACAAAACCTGTCAAAGACCCACATTCTGTCTGACAATAATTGAGCATATCTAGTTAATACTACCCAGTTATCTCTGAAACATAAGTTTCCCATACTCTTATAAGGGTTAATCAATATCACCTGGACAACTTGAGGAAAGAAAACACTCGCATTTTCAACACAGCCCAATTCCAGTGTGTAGAAGACTGCTGTCAGATTGACAGAGCTGCCGCAGTGACTTGTTATTGTGTCTAGTGTCTACCGTAAAGCAATGTCTAGTCTAGGAAGCAAGTTAGAGGATGAGTCAGACATGTTATATGAACTAGCAACCATGCTGTCCTGAAAGAGGTCAACCCTGCATGCTGCTGTGAACTGTCCAGCACTGCGTGACCACAGCGTGACACAGCATGACATCGGAGTACTCTGTGTGAAAGCTACCACTAAGTATCACACCACTGGTGACACTGGGCTTTATATTTTTTTGGAATCTATGTCAAAACTTGTTTAGTCATATCTTGATAGTTTTGAAACCAATCCATTGACAAATGTTTATTTGACAGTTGTGAAACTGGTCTGATACCTCAGACAGCAACTTTTCTCTATTCCGTGTGCAAGTGAACATTTTGACCGATAAAACACCAACATACACATTAGTACAGGATCAATGTGGTGATAAGACAAAAAGTAAGACCACAGAGAATGCTTCGTTTGGCTCCACTAAATGCAACTGCATTCCTTTCTAAAAAAAATGTGAAATAGCTACCATTCATTAAGTTCTGCCTCACCAGCATTATTGATGTCTGCCTTATTCCATCCCACTGTGCAGTACAAAACATTAAGATATATTTCCACACCACCGAATATCCTTCATAAACACCAACACCAAATGAATGACCTTCACCTTCAAGCATTAAAATGACCTTCAACCCTTTGAAACATCCTTGACCTCTTACCTGGCAGGTAAAGTTCCTCCTGAAGGCTGCCGAGTTTCTCCATCTTCTTTCTCTTCATCCATTTCTGTGAAAAGCAATAGGAGAATATAAATGTTCATGGTTATACAGTTCCTGCAATGTCTTGAAAAACAACAACTATTGGGTGACATCATGTCCATCCATCATGACACAAAAGTACCAGAGATATGTGTGAATTGAACACTATTTCAGACATGTTACCACACTCAGCAATATTACAGCTATATGGACCAGACAAACTAGTGATTAATATCGTGGGCAAAATCCCATCCAGTCAGGGTAGCGTATGCACTCATCCAAGTCCATGTGTCTGACCTAGGTGTGACAAGCATGGGCCGCTGGGGACGTTTTCTAACCCAGGATTCCCACAAGGGGGCAGCTTAATGTAGGGGGAAAGCCCCAAGTGGTACAGGGGTAAACCTCAACAAACATCATACAAACTTTCAGCAAGTCATGGCAGGGTATCTTCCCAGGTGCTTACTAATCCAAGTGGGTGAATGTTGTTTAATGCTGCAGTTAGCAATGTGCCACCAACCAACCAACAGCCTGTAAATAATTAATTCTAGAACAGCGAAACCATCGTTGAAAACATGCTCAATGTCCTGGGGTCCCTGAGAGGGTAACTGTTTTAAGGACTAATCCACAAAACCCTTATCAGAACCAGAGCTGTTCTTAAATAGCACTGGTGTGATAATATTCATTACTCAGGAGGCCATACTTGGTACTTTATGGTAGGAACCATAATGCAGGGAATACTCACTTAATTGATTAATATTGTCAGCACTTCCAAACTTGTTCTTTATTAGATGAGCAAATTCTTTGGGTTTTGCAACTATTGTACTGCAATGAACAAGAGCAATCTGTTAACATTCAAACTTGAGGTAGCATGAACCCGAAATTCAAAAATAATCAAAATATACCAAATTCCTAAAAAAAAGTCATATATTTTTAAAGACAATAAGACATTTTCCTAAAGCACCAACATGTATACCAAAAAATATATTTAGCAAGATTCACAACATAGCTAAGAATATCAACACTAACTAAAGAAAAATCCCATACAATGATTATTGGAATTTCACCTAAAAATACTTATCATTAAAAAATACACCATTGATACATGACTGAAGTAGAGTGTTTTCAAAAACGAACTGTTTGTAAGTATGATAATTAATAAGACAAAACATGATTCTCCCTAGATGATCTCTCAGTCAAATGTATGCAGATATCACAATATAAGTACTCTATACTTCAACTTACTCTTTGGCTCCCTTAATGTTGTCTACGACTCCACTGAAGCAAAACATGAACCAATATTATACAACCGTAACAGAAACAGCAAGACGCTTTAACTATCCACAACAGATTCACCATGCACGATGATGTCGACATGAATGTATTGACAGAACCAACTAATTTCAATATTCTCAACTGAATTACAAATTATTACAAACATTAAGAGTAAAATGTAAGAAAACAATTAACATATTTTCAAAATATATAATAAATCATCAAAACATGTAACCATAGCAACTCACCCTGAGAAACCTGTTATTCCATCTACAATATTGGCACCCACATCTCTGAAAAAAAGAACATCACATTTTGAATATACTGTATGTAAGACTCAAGTCTCAGTTGATGTTAATAAGTATCTTCAAATACTAAAACCATCCTTATGATTTTTCAAAAACACACTTAGCAATGTATGTCAATTTCGCGTCTTCGTAATCTGGTTGTCTTTGCAACACAGATACTATTACAGCACAAATGCATTAACTGCACATCCTTATAGATCATGAAACATTTCTGTTCAGATTCAAAATCAGAGATAAGAATGAATAGAAGAGATGACTTTTGAAAAGGAAACTTCAAAATCATGTACATATTCAGGTTCCTCCCACACAACTTCTATTGGGACATCCTATTTGTAACTAAGGAAAATGAAATATATTGCAAACATGAATAACTACAGGTAGGAAGTGTCTGGTGAATCTTCCAATGACAAAAAGAGCAGGTTCTTTATGTAAATACTCAAAGTTAATAACAACAAATCGTAGGAGATTCCAATCACAGTCTACTCATCAATCATATACACTAAATAACATAAAACCAAAATGTAACAATGCTTGCAACCTTTTCATAGAAGATCAAGCAGTAATTCGTTACTCAGAAAAATAAAGAGTTCAGACAAACTGTCTAGAACTGACTCTCCAATTAAATAACACCCAGTCCAAAAGTTTCAACTTCAAAATTTCTCATTCCTGCAGTTGCAGACACAGTGGAACCACTCACCCCGTGTCCAGCAAAGCCCAAAATGTCAAAGAGGCAACAGTGTCCATCTACCCATCCCTAATCCCCAATGGCATCTGACAATCCTCTAGTCTGACTGGCATGAAATATTAAGCATGTGTATCTCTATCTGGCTGTGAGTGTGGGACAACTGTGGAGCCACATTGAGGCAGCGGTGTAATCTGCACTGGTTTATAATCAAATTGTTATCCCAGACATCACATGTGTCCAGTGCCACATATTGACCACTAATCAATGTATGGGAGATTATTGCAGACATAACACCCTGATTTCATAGCTACAGGCACCATGTGCTTCATAAAACAACATGATCCATGCAATGCAGATGTGCTGTTTGAGAGTGTTTCGAAATCCTAATTAATGAAAGAGGATTTTACACAGAGATCAATATGTATTATTGCCACTAAGGCTAAAGATGCGATTTTTGAAATGAGAATTATTTACCAATTTGACAAATTGTATAGGTACAAAAATCTAAACAGATGTGTATTTGACCAATAAATATCCATTAGTACAGACAATGTAAATTTTTATTTATTTGAAAAATAATCTTGAAAGAAATATTATTTTCATTTAAAATCAAAAGAGAGAATGTAACATCTTAAAAGAAGGACCTTTTCTGACTCCCTGCAGATGTTTGAAAGTAAATTAGTATGAAGCTGTCAGATGACATTAGTAAACTGTAATCAGTGGTGTGGAAACAGAGAGAGTGATCCCACAAATTTAAAGACAACGGACATTTCTTGTAATCAACAGTTGTAAGAGCAAACAGTGAGATGAATCATGGAGATCTTGTTGCAAGAGCTGCCATCGTTTGAAAAGCATTTCAGCTACGGTCACGGGTGTGACAGCTTAATGTAGGAGAAAACCCATAGAGATACAGGTCACAGATGTTTTCAGCTTTGTGAACCCAATGTGTATGAGTATGGTGCTGACAGTCCAAGGTTTGTAACAGGAGCAAAAGGGGATTTGAATCCATGACCAGTAGGTCCATCTACAACTAAGGGATACACTTCCAATGTTGAAGGGCCATTGATCGCTGGCTTTTCCTGAAAGAAACATATATTACCAACAAATGAAATAGTGGAAGAACTAGCTATACGATTAGTAACTTACTTGAGTCCTTGGCCGACATCTCGCAGCCTCTCTTTGGCTTGTTTGTGGCCAGGGAGTCCACGCCTCTCAATGTCGCTGAGTTTCCGCTGGTAGTTCTCCAGCTTCTTCTGCAGCTGGTTTATGCCCTGAGCCGACTTCTGGTTGCGCTTCTCGAAAACTGTCTTGATGCGCTGCGCCTGCTGTTTGTCCTCCGTGCTGGACGCCAGACGCAGGTACTCATTCACGTTAGCTGCAACCAGGAAGTGGACACAATTGATTTTCTGAAAAAGCAATCCTAAGACCTGCAATACCTTGAGAAATGACAAAAGAAAGTATGCATTTGGAGAGGACAGTTCTCACCTTCTTTATGTGCCTGTTCTGTCTTGATCATCTCTTTCGTCTTGTCTATCTTTTGATGGAGGTGATCAATGGCTGCCTTGACTCGACTCGACTCGGATGTCTCGGGCATGGGATGAGCATCCACCTCATCCACATCATCCAGCATGGTATCAATGCTACCGCCATTCTCCTTACTGCTTGTGTCTAGCTGCAGGGGAAGAGTAGAAGAGGTCAAATGAAATGTCGTGTAAGAACAAAGACATGTACGGCAAGCTTTAGATTAGATATGAAAATATACTTTTCATATTACACACAACTGAAACTAATGCCTCAATGTTGGATAAGTCAACGCATATTTGGGATCACCGGTCCTTTTCCAGTTCAATCACATGAGCTACCAAAGAAATTTCAGGCATGAACAGACAATTGTATTTCTATATGACCTCCTTCCTCCAACCTACCATCTCCAGATCCTCTGTGCTGCGCCGAAGCACATCATCTAGGGGTGGCGGGTGTAGTGTCCCCGACCCATAGTGCACTCTGACAGCTGGACTCAGGGTGTCGGGAGATGGCTGCTTCTTGGGAAGGCAGGGGCTCTTACTCTGGCCTTTCTTAAAATTCTTCAGTGGTGGAATCTTCCCCGCATCTGATTTCTTCCTGCAGGACAAAACAGACCGTGGTCAGAATAGGAGACACAACACAAGTGAGACCTTACCACTGGGGAAGACACAAGTCAGAAGAGCGCCTCTCAAAGAACGACTTCCGGAGTCTGACAGTGCAGCACAAGCAGCAGTGTGATGAGCAAAGCTTGGTCAGTTGCAGTTGAGTGGAGTGTGATAGGAGCAGTAACATCAAACGAAAGTTATCATTGCTATAATTCTAAGAATACTACCTCTGTTACATCATTTCCAAGTTCCTGTATTTTGGCTGGAATCACACTAAACTAACTCAGATTTTCAAAGGAATCCATGGATCTATTCAGAATTAACCATCAGAAATCCGGAAATACTACTGGGGTAATTGCTGTCATTATCAAAAAAAATAGTCTCATATACTGAAAATCAGTGTCTAACTGTGACATAGCTTAGGCATTTTACAAGTTTTAGCAACTTTGGCGACATCAGTCGTGAAACAATTTTGCAAAGGCACAAGCCAAGCAGGATCAGTTTCCATACTTGTGCTTGTAGACCTCTGCGGCTTGGAACCATTTCCACAAATTAAAAGAGTTGAGTTTTGACGAAATATGCTCGAATTGTTACACTGTTTCATTTTGTCGCTGAGTGTACATCTGACTGCACTTCTTAATGTTATGACAGGAGGTTTCTAGTTATTGCTGTCAACTTATAATACAGGGCGTGTACTATAGGCAGAACCCACCTTCCCCCGGGTACATTCTGGCAATGATGTAATAGAAGTACAGGATTTTGTAAAAATTACCAAAAAATAGTTATCCGCAATGGCATCATGCAGAATTATGTATTTTAAAAAGTAATGTCAGTGAATTACCACACCATTCCTAATAAATCATTAGTTGGATTTTCTTCCTCTGTGGCAAAGTGCTGTCAACCATCAATCCTGCACCTTGACTATCACTGTCAGATAATTTCTACCCTTGTAAGATTTCTATCAGAAAGCTAATACAAAAGGTCTTGCAAGGCATATTTTTCCACGGCAACCAGAGTGAAATGTCACATATATATTGTCATGATTCAAACTCACTTTAATGACAATATGAATAATATTGTGCCCAGTTGCAGATATTCAAGATAAATAGTCCCAAGAAGGTGGAAATTTATACACATACATAGAAAATACATTTAGCAAGACAGTATTTTCTTACATCTTCAGCATCACTGGAGGCTGGAAATGGCTGCATATATAGACAATTCATTAAGCATACATGGATTTCAGAGGTATCAGTTTGACTGGTTTTCTAATCTGTTTATTCAGTACATGAGTGGGCCAGCGGCCCATAGTACAATTCGGTTCACCAGACATGTATAAAAATACAACTGTGTACACCTAAATACACAACAGCAAGGCATTCATAGATAAAGAATATTACTTCTGCAAAAATGAATTCCTTAACTTAAAAGCGTGGTAAATATAACAAGCCAGACTTCTAATTGTTGACTGATGCAGAGACGACATAAGTATGTAAAATTGTTCTATTGATGGATTTACATAATATTTTTGAGGAATATATGTCACTCGGAGAGCATAATATTTTTCACAAACCAATACAAAATGGTATTCAGACTCAACATAGCCTGTTTTACAAACCATACATAACCTTCGCTGTCTTGGGATACCAAAATATCTCCCGCTTTCTATGTGGAGCGAGTGGGAGCTAGCTCTAAAACGTGCCAGTGCAACGCGAAACTTATTGATTGTAATAGCCGATAAATAAAATTCCCTGCTAAACCTAAATTTATAACAAAGATATGATGAATACTTGGGGCTATTGGTCAAAGCAAAATGCCAATCTTGTTCATAAGAGCATTTTAATCTTTGTATGAACTCATCAATAAATGAAATAGAAATAACAAGATGCTGATTTTCCCATACGTAGCCAAAGCCATAGGCGTACAAAAGTAATTTAACTCTAGAGGCCCAATTAGTCTTACCTGCTATGGCCTGCTGCACAAGCATATTGTAACTTTTTCGTGGATAACGCGAATCGGGCATCTTTAAAATCTTACACCAATAATTCAAGCATCTTTTGAAAGCATAGATATACAAAGGGTATCTCCCACACTCTCCACGCACAACATGATTGGAAGTTGCTGACTTAACTCCTAAAATACGTTTACAAGCAAGTGTATGAACAACTTCAATCTCCTCGCAAAACGATAAAGATAAACCCCAAACTTCTGCACCGTAAAGAAGTACTGGCACAACTTTAGCATAAAAAATTTTAAAGAAAATATTCATAGGAGTAGGTTTAATTAGCTGTAGGGACTTCAAAAGCTTAAACAAAACCTTTTTAGCTTGATTAACAACATTAGATATATGTGCACTCCAAGATAGATTTCGAAAAAATAATACACCAAGGTATTTATATGTAGTTACACATTCCAACAATTTTCCATCGTAAACCCATTTTTCATATTTTGAAAGAACACTCCCATTTTTAAAAACTACTACTTTAGTTTTATCAACATTGACTGTTAATGAATAATCTTTACAATAACATTCTAACACATTGATTCTTTTCTGGAGACCATAAACAGTATCTGCTATGAGAATGACATCATCTGCGAAAAGTAATAAAAACAATTGAACTACATCTGGATGAAATTGGATACCATGTGCGCAACTGGATTCAATATCTATGGCAAGATCATTTATGAACAAGGCAAACAAAATGGGACTAAGGACACATCCTTGACGAACTCCCTTACTGCAGCTAAACATATCAGAAAATGAGTTATTGTATTTGACCAATGCCAAAACTTGTTTATAAATTGACTGTATACAACAGAACATTTTCGGAGAAATACCATTTTTGTATAGTACCATACGCAATTTGGATCTATCTATGGAATCAAAGGCTTTGGCAAAATCAACAAACAAGGCATAAATCACACCTCGTTTCTTAGCCAAATATTTCTCTATTACTGAATATAAAACAAAAATATTATCAGTTGTGGAATATCCACTCCTAAAACCAGCCTGAGACTCTACTAGTCTATCATAGGATTCCGACCAAAACTGAAGTCTTCTGTTTAAAATAGAAATATAAAGTTTACTGAATACACTTAAGATAGTGATACCCCTATAATTAGTGGGAGAATTGGCATCGCCTTTCTTATATATAGGAACAATGTGGCCAACAGCCCAAGATGAGGGAAAATATGCAGAATCAAATATAGCATTAAAGAAGAATGTCAAAAAAGGAACCAGAACATCAGGAGAAGACTTAAACATTTCTGCTATCAGTCCATCATCTCCAGCAGCTTTATTATTTTTCAATCCTGTAATCGCATCAAGCACTTCATCCTGTGAAATAGGGGAATCAAGAATACTCTGAGTTGTTTCGTCAAAATTAACATCGTCAAAAACTAAATTCTCCTCAACCTCTGAAGAAGAGTATTCACCAAATAAGTTCTTAAAGTGCTGATACCAATCACCTAGTTCTATATTAGGAGAGCGTCTCCTTCCCTCACCAGAGAGTAGCTTCAATTGTGACCAAAATATTTTGCTGTTGTTTTATAATGCACTGAAACCATCTGCTGATAACATGGCTATGTTCTAAAAATGTCAAACTATTCCAGTCTGAAACTGAAGAGCTGAAGCATCAGAAGGTGAGGTCAGAAGTCAGACAAAAAGGTGATACAAGTTTCAATAAAACAGTAATAAAATTCTCATGATATCAAACAACTATAACAACTTCTACATCCTTGATTCAGGTTCTGAAGAAGTGGTTGGTTTAGTTTATTGTTTAACCCTGCACTCAGCAATATTCCAGCTATATGACGGCGGTCTGTAAATAACGGAGTCTGGACCAGAAATCCAGTGATTGATATCATGAGCATCGATCCACGCAATTCGGATCGATGACACGCTTCAACCAAGTCAGTGAGCCTGACCACCTGATCCCGTTAGTCGCCTCTTACGACAAGCATAGATGCCTTTTACGGCATTCATGGGTTGCTGAAGACCTATTCTACCCATGATCTTCACAGGTACTGAAGAAATGGACAAGAGAGGGATGTATAGTTTGGGAATGTAACATCTTTATTTCACCCCTCCCCTTTTATAGTGCTAGCCCACTGCATGCTGCAGATAAACATGGATTCACCACTCAGACACTTCATATTGACTCTAAGCTGATCAGTCCTTGCTTTCTTGTCTGGTATGAGGAAGCCAGGGGATGGAACCTGAACCTTCCGCCCTATCCACTACACCGTGGAGGCAGTTGGATGGTCTATATGGTGACTGATTTAAACTGATATATACTGAAGTAAACAGATGATGCATGTAGTCCATGCACTAACCATTGCATGCACAATGGACTGAGATGTTAACTCCAAACTGAAATTCAACATTGCTGAACACATCTGGTATATGGATGTGGCAATCCTTGAAAGCTTTCATCGAAGTACTTGCACCTTTTAAAGATTATGCTATCAGGTTTCTATCATGGATATAAATTATACATAACATCAAACAGACTGAGTTATCTCCCTTAGACTGCTTAGCAACCCACAATCTGACAGATGTGCATGCTCAGGATTCTAGTCCAGGTCAGACTAACTGAGCCATGTTGGGGGCCAAAATGTAATAAATAGGTGATGTCTTCACACTCAATAGGTGAGAATACTTGTTAGCTTCATGCAGTAATCAATGACTGATGTGTTCCCACATTGCAAAACATCCTGCACCCACTCACCAGTGTAAACAATACACTGTATAAACAAATACTGGTGATGAGTTTTCATGAATGAAAGTTTTTTTCAAAATGCTCACATTCCAAAATCAGGTTCAATTAATTAGATCTAACATTCCCTGTCAAATTTTTCACTTGTACTAGTCACGGTCATAGATTTACATCAGTTGCCATGACGACTTATTTCAAGGCTAATAACACCCAGTAATTATACCTCTAACCAACTCATGGCAAAGGGATACAATTCCTCTCTACCAAAATGAAA